GCGGGCAGCCCCAGCACAGGCGCTCGGCAGCCCAAGGCAGTGGGAAATCGGGGCTGCCGGAGCATCCCGGGGGCTCGGAGCGGCGGAGGGGAGGGACGTGTGTCCCCAAGCCATGTCCGTGCCCTCTTCCATGCTCTCTTCCCAATTGGGAAGCACCAAAGGAGCTCCCATTACCCGGCTCCCGGCGAGGGGGCTGAGGTCCCCGGAGGGCCGGCCCCGCGCTGGCACTTGCAGGATGTTGATATAAAATAATCGCCGGCCACCGCGTCACCCAGGGCGGAGTGACGCGCGCGCGGCATAACAGGAACCCTCGGAAATTCCTTGAGGCTGCAGGAGTTGTTGCTGGGGGGTGGGCAGACCAGGAAGGGGCTTCCTGGCTCTCTGCTTTTTGGTTCTGCAAGGGGGCAGAGGAAGAGCAGGCTCTGCTGTCACCCTGCGCCCCGGACACTCCGGATTCCCGGGATGCAGCGGTGCAAGACCCTGTGTTACCCCCTGCAGCTCCGTGTAGCCTGGTATCCCCATCCCGAGGGGGGACAGCACCCACGGGGACACCCTACGGCTCCGAGCTGCCCTCCTGCTCAGCGGGCGATCCCGGCTCCGGAGCGCGCCGCGGAAGCGCCGGGAAGATGCTCCCGGATGCCCGTGCCGGGATATGTGCGGGGGAAGCAGCCACTTGAGCCGACGGCCACGGAGAGGAAGCGCTGGCCGGACTTTGCTTTTAAAGCAAGATCCTGAATATTCCAGGCGAGGCCGCGGGCAGCCCGTGCCTATCCAAGGGGTCACCCAAGCCGCTGGCTCGGCTCTTCTCCCAGAATGAGCCACCCTGGGGTCTCGGAACGCTCCGGATTCCCATCCCGCTCCGCGTTGCCCACTCTGCACTCCTGCTTTCCAAGCAGACACATTCCCCGGCACCCACGGAGCAGCCGGGCGTGTTTCGCAGGGCCGGTTTGGAGAAAACACTGGAGGCAAAAAAACAAAAGGGAAAAAAGCGAGAGGAGGGGAGGGAGCAGCGCGCCGGCGCTGAGCGGGCACGTCGGGAGCCGCGCGGACGGGCACGGGCTCGTGCTCCGCTCCGTTGGCACCACGGGCAGCCCAAAGCCCGCGGCCGAACGCCCTGAAATCTGAACCAGACCTGAACTCCTTCAAGAGCATCCGTGACTCCCAGCCCGGCCCAGAGCAGCTCCTGGACGCGGGGAAGTCTCCGCTGCGGAGCCGAGCGTCGCCCCGCGCAGCGCTGCAGACGTCGCCGCCGGGAGGGACGGCAGCGGGAAGCGTTTACAGCTGCCAGATCCAGGGAGATTTCACCCAAAATGTCACTTAGCCAAAAGAAAACAAACAAGGAAACTTAAGATGAAACATTTGTTTTCCAAGGAGCTCTTCAGAGCCTGACGTGCCTCTGGCTGCAGGTAGCAGCTGTGTTTCTGCAGTCGCCGCAGGACACGTTTCTATCACTGCGATGTTTGGCTCCCTCCGTGCAACAAATATTACCCCAATCTCTCATGGGATTTGGTATCCTGCGCTCTTGGAAGGTGCTGGAGATGTGATCTGGGGCCAGGGCTGCTTGAAACCATGGGGAACCTTCCCAAACCCCTTCATTGCCCCTCCAGAAAAGTCCTGCCCTCCCCTGCTCTGCTGAAGATGGAGCAGATTGAAGCTTCAGCATCACCCAGTGCCAAATGAGCAGCCCAGGGGGGAATGAGCTTCTCCTTGCAGGACCCACAGCCCATCCGAGGCCAAAGCCAGGCTCAAAAATAGAGCTGGAGTCGCCCTGCTCACGAGGGGGTTAAGGAAGGAAGATTCCCCAGGGAAGGATCCCGACCTGGACACGAGAAATCCCCCCTCCACGGGCTGCCTATCGGGCCTTGAACCTTAGAGGAACTCCGGGAACAAATAAACTCCAAAGAGGAAAAGAAAAAGACTAAGAAAATAGCCTTAATATAAACAAATTTAAACAAATAAACACCGAGACTGATGGATACCATTTGGCCTGCAGCAGCCCGGGCAGCTATTTTTCCAAACACATTTTCAGTTGAATCAATGTGAGACTATTCATTTTTCTTATGTAACTTAGCCATTTATAGCGGTTTTGTGTGACTATCTTTTGACCAAAATAAACTCTTTGCCTGTTTCTAAACGCAAAAAAAGAGAAAAAAAAAGTCTCAAAGCATTTCCCCTTCTTGACACACCCCTAAATTGCAGCTATTTTCTCTGTATACCCTTTGTTGGAACACAACGACCTCTATATCTCTTAGAAGATGCCCCATGGCAGCTGGGAGATCACACACGAGAGCTGTTCTGCAGCTCAACCATTTGCATGGAAGCTTTTTTTTCCTCTCTCTAAAAAATGCAGCCGCGAGCCACAAAATTTGGATGGGAATTTTCCCAAAGAGCGGAGATGTTTAGGGCAGGGCCGCACGATCCGTCTGAAGCGACGGGTTTGGAGCGTCCCCCGCGGTGCAGGAACGCGTTTCGGCCGCAACCATCGCACCAAGCAGAGCCGGAGCTGGCCTCAAAGATAAGGAACCTGTTTCTCCTTTTTCTTGCGTGCCCTTTATACCATTTCTGCCTTGCAATACTGCTTTGGGGCGGCATAATCCTTGTTTCATGGGAATCCTTAAGACAGCTCCCAAGGTAACAGGAGAACGATCCCGAGGCGGCTGCATCCAGCCGGAGCGCCGGGAGCAGCCCGAATCCAGCACTGCCTTGTGTGACCTTCGCCAAGGTCACGCGGGAAACTGGAGCCAAAGCTGGGAAAAGATCCCGGGAATTGCACGGCATCACAACTGCTGCATCGGCCTTCCCCATATTTCTTCCTTCTGGCTTCGTGACAGACAGCGCTCTTACACTGCCCTTAGTTTGAAGCAAAGGAAGAAAACATCTTCACAAAACATTTGTCCCCGTTTTCAAGCGGCAGCACTAGACACTCGGAGCAGTGCAAACAAGTACAGAACGTCCCCGTGCAGCCTCCCTGGTATTCCCCATCCTTGTGGCCATCTCTGGGACAAGAGCACAAACACCTACTTTGGACTGACAAAATTCCCGGGCCAGTTTGGAACTGACAAAGTTCCATGTGCTGGAAGCCACCACGTCCCCGTGTGCCACCACCTTGTGGGGGTTTCCTATTGCATCCCACTATCCTGGGCACCGGGATCTTCCAGAGGGGCTGCTTTTCCTGGCTGGGATTCGTAGCCTGACACCTAGCAAAAGCTTTTGCTGGTATCACAACATCAATAAGGACCGGGTGGTTTTAACTTCTCTGCACAAGCAAAATGCCCCAGAGCAGAAACAACTGCAACGGCCAGAGGTGCTTTTTCCCAGAAGAGCTCATTTGTACTGGAATAAACTGTACCAGCATAAGCTTTCGCCAGTATAATCTTCATTTATGCTTAAGAGGCTTTTCCAATAAAACTAGGGTGACCCAGCTCCGTCGGTAAACATTTCCCAACGCACCCGCAGCGTTTAGGCGGAAGCGACGCGGCTCGGCGCTGGCGCACGGAAGGAGGGAGCTCCAAACCCCTTTCTGGAGCCACAGCGGATCCTTCCTGCACCCCGAGAAGGCCCCGGGCACAGAGCGCGATCGCGAGGGCCCGCGAGCGCCGCACGCGATGGCAGCTCCCCGGCGAGCAGCGAACACGGCTTTGGAAGGCTGCCCACACCTCGGCGCTTCCTCTTTTGTATATTTTTTTTGCATTTTTTTTTTCCTTCTCAGCACCTCTTCCTCCTTAATCAGAAAGCGGATCAATTCTGGGTATTAAGCAGCAGGAAATTCTAAATTTGGGCGGCCACTCCCTTCCTCGCGGCGCTCGGGGCCGCGCGCGGAGGCGGCAGCAGGGAGC